AAAATTAAAATTTTTTACATAAAATTCATATATAAATTGATATTGGTCACTTGGTTAACATTACAATATAGAAGTATTGATTAAAATATTAAATAAAATTTTAAAAAAGTGTTTATTCATCTTTTTTTTTAATAAAAAACTTAAAATTATATTATTTTAATAAATTATTATTAAAAAATTAAAATATTCTGTTTTTAAAGTATAAATCAATTTTAAGTGAATAATATAATTTTAAAATAAAAAAATAAATACTAATTTCATGAAATTTTACTCATTATGTACCGTATTAAGTCTTGTAGATATTTGAAGTTGGTCTCCCTCCAGTCCTCCACGACCGCCACTAGAAACGAAAGCTAAAATCCAAAAAGGAAAAGTAAAGCAAGGCTTTGATTGGAATAAATTTAGAATTTTGGAATGATTCTTTTGTTTTGCGATGCGTTCAATGTACCCCGTCAAGCAAGTTATACTTTTATGGTTAAATATTATTTTTAGTTTTTATTTTTTAATTTAAATTATTTTTAGTCTTAAATTATTTTGAGACTTTAAATTTTGTATTTTAAATATTTTTAATTTTTAAAATTTAAAATTTTTAAAAAATATAGATTTAATAAATTAAATTAATAAAATAATTAAAAAATAAAATTTTTATAATTTAAAGATAAATAAATATAAAAAATAATTTAAAAACTAATAATGTTTAAAATTAAAAATTTACAAATTTTAAAAAACGACATTTAACTTAATTTTAATTTTATTTCATAGCAAAAGATTTGTCGCCGTAATGTCTCTGTCAACGCCTCCAACGAATTTCTTACTATTCAGCCTTTTAAAAAAAAAAAAATTCTCAGTTTTATAATGGTTTTAGTTTTTTATTTTATATCTACGTAATTTTTCGGAGTAAAATTAAATATATTCATTTATAAATAATAGAAACTCTTACATAGGTTGGCCTGTAGCTCTTATATGTATGTAATTAATGTAAATCTCAGCAGTTTGAAGAAGTTTATAGATAAATTTTTTTACATGGGTAACTCTATTGTTACTTTTATAGTTATATGATAATATTTTATATTTAGGTGGATTATGTTAAAAGGAGTTTTTTTTTTTTT